GGCTCTGGGCTGCATTAACCCTTAAACTGTCCAAATGTAGATCTACGTTCACGTGCGTAGTGCTCCGACCTTGATTTTCCCCATTTGAAAGCATGTAAAAAAAAAAAAACAGTCCCCCGCACATGGACGTAGATCTACATTTGGACAGTTTAAGGGTTAAATAGGTACGTAGGTGTAGGTATGTAGGTATGCAGCCTAGGAGGACTACATAGTACCTATATCTACCGGCTACCTACACCTGAGTTCCTACAAGTAAGTACTACTCACCTCTCGCCCTACATTAAGCCTACAAATATTTTAAGGTAAGTAATGAATGTACTGTGTATGTATTTTACTTTTTATCGTGCTTTTTAATGCCTAGTTCTATTACTAAATAAGTTAGCAGTGGCATCGTAAGGGGGCAGGGGGGAGGGGGGTCCCGGGTGACACCATTTAGGGGGTGACACCATAGAGCCTCTAAAGAAGGTGACACTAATGCACATAACAGCGCTGCAGCAACATAAGAAAAAATCCTTCGTTTCTATATAGCCTATTATATGATTACAGAGTACAAATAGGCCTATATAGGAAAAATACACCTACCATCCAACTTACGACCTGCTCAACATACGACCACTCGACTTACGACCGTGTTTTTTATGCCAAATTTCTGGGAAATAAACAATTATTTGTGCTGTACACAGTGTTTATCCTAAACCTTACAGTATAAAATACAGTACTAACAGCATAAAAAGTAAAGTAAAACATGAAATACAAAATAAAACAATAAAATAAAGTCATTACAAAAATGTGATGTTGATATTCAGTAGTAAAGTTCGACTTATGTCCATTTCGACTTACGACCGGTTTCTCGGAACCGAACTCGGTTGTAAGTCGGATGGTAGGTGTAATTGATTTTGATGATGTGACGGATGATTTTGCAAGATTGAAGGCAAGGAAATGTAATATCTGATTCATTGAGATGTTACCTGTACTCAAGGTCAAATCAGAATTAGTGTTTCTCTGATATTGCAATGTTTTTCTTTATTTTTCAAGTTCATTTTTTTTATTTGCACTGTTGAAGATGAATAATTGTAGTATCTGTTGCCTGTACTTTAAGTGCTATTTGAGTTTATGTTTCCTCAATATTACTACGATTATTTATTTTATCATTAATAAAGTTGAGAAATATTATCCTGTTCGGTTAATGGCCCTTAAACGTTCTCATTGCTAAACATTAGTCATGCAGTAGTGACGTAACTGGAGTTTACTCCCCCTATCCCCCCACTCTTGAATTTCATGGAGGTGACACCAAAAGATGCCGCCTCGGGTGACACCAACTCTAGCGATGCCACTGTAAGTTAGTGTAAACTTGATAACCCTATGCCTGTTGTGAAATCAACTGTGACTTTGGGGAAGTCCATGGGGTTGGATGTGAGTAGCCAGGATGTGGAAGAGTTGGTGGATGATCATAGGGAAGAGCTAAACACTGAAGAGCTGCAATACTATATTTTTTGTTGATATTTTTGGGTGTCTGGAACGGATTAATTGGATTTACATTTTTTCTTATGGGAAATATTACTTCGGTTTTCGTCCATTTCAGATTTAGGTATGTTTTTAATTTATTGCTGGTGACATTTTACATTGTACAGTGGACTCCAGGTTTTTGTCCTTAACCCTTAAACTGTCCAAACGTAGATCTACGTTTGCGCGTATAGTGCTCTGACCTTGATTTTCTCCATAAGAATGTAAAAAAAAAAAGTACATCTACATTTGGACAGTTTATGGGTTAAGGACGAAAACTGGGAGTCCACTGTACAATGTAAAATGCCACCAGCAATAAATTAAAAACATACATAAATGAGAAAATGTAATCATAAATTGACAGAAGGCATAAAACAATAGAAGATAATAATACTGTATAGTTTCAGAAAACTAAAGTGTACATAGGAGTGGGATGGTATTATGTACAAAACAGCAGAATATCTGAACAACAGACTTTTAAAAGGGTTATAGTACTGAACATGAAAACCAGAGTAGGGAAGGCTGGAGTAGAGAAGGCAGGGATGGGGGAGGCAGAGGTGGAGAAAGCAGAGGTGGGAGAAAGGCTGGAGTGGGGAAGGCTGGAGTAAGGAAGGCTGGAGTGGGGAAGGCTAGAGTGGGAAAGGCTGGAGTAAGGAAGGCTGAAGTGGGGAAGGCAGGAGTAGGGAAGGCTGAAGCAGGGAATGCAAGAATGAGGGCAATAGAGGGAAAGGGATTACCATATTTACATATAAAGAATCTATTTGAGATACAGCCAGAATGGGAAATAAGACCTTAGAGCCATAGCAATGATTAAAGACAGTACAGTGGTACCTTGACTTACGAGTGTACCAACTTATGAGTTTTCCCGAGTTACGAGCCAAAATCTGAGTTATGAGTGAGCTTCAGATATGCCACTAATTGGCGGCGTATCTGAAGTCAAATCCAACTCTGTACTCAGAGGAATGTCAGGTACTTCGTCTCATCCCACATGCTCTAGTAAGACATAACTGGAAGGATAATACTTCCACACTAATCCCAGATTATAGCGAGGCACCTCGTCCCTTGTTTGGTTCTCATATAAATCCAGGGAAGAAGTAACCTCCAGTTAAACACTCAGAGTTTTTCCAGAAACATTAGGTAAGGTGGATGGAGTACTGACAGTGGTGAGTGGAATAGTGATAGTGGTGGGTGGAGTAGTCATGGTGGTGGGTGGATTAGTGATGGTGGTGGGTGAAGTACTCATAGTGGTGGGTGGAGTAGTGATGGTGGTGGGTAGAGTAGTGATGGTTAGTGATAGTGGTGGGTGGAGTAGTGATAGTGGTGGGTGGAGTAGTGATAGTGGTGGGTGGAGTAGTGATAGTGGTGGGTGTAGTAGTGATAGTGGTGGGTGTAGTAGTGATAATGGAGGGTGGAGTAGATATGGTGATGGGTGGAGTACTGAGGGTGGTGGGTGTAGTAGAGATGGTGGTGGGTGGAGTAGCGAAGGTGGTGGGTGGAGTAGTGAGGGTGGTGGGTGGAGTCGAGATGGTGGTGGATGGAGTAATGAAGGTGGTGGGTGGGGTATATAATATTTCTTATTTATAAAAACATTTTTCTTATTTAAAAACCTGTAACAAGAAAACTGGGGTGTTTTTTGGGGGGCTGGAAAAGATTAATGGCATTTCAGCTAATTTCAATGAGGAAAATTGATTTGATATATAAGCAAATTGAGTTACGAGCTCGGTCACAGAACGTATTAGCCCTTTCAGGGTCAAGCGGCCCTTCTCCTAAACTTGTTCTTAGGGTCGAAAAATTTTCGGAAAAAAAAAAAAAAAAAAAAAAAAAAAAAAAAAAAATCTTATGAAAAGAGAATCTTTTCCCGATCATAATGACAGCAAGTGTAAAATCTGATGGAAAACTTATGGAATTATGTTCGCGCGAAGTTAGCGGTCTTGACGATGTTTACGCATCGGCGATATCGCCCACTTTGAGCCCTATTTTCAGCCAATTCCAATGTACTAGTCGACAAAAATCATAACTATTTTGCTAGAACTCCACTCCATTTTTACTATCGAATGAGTACAAGACACCACCCATTTACCGATTTCAACTATCTAATAAAGCGGTCAGAAATTAGCAATTTTGCCAATTTCACACAAATTTCAAAAGATGCCAATTTCCAAATAGGGTCCAAAATAAACAAGACAGACATTCCTGGCACTAAAATAACATTTCCTCTCTTCATTAGTTATGTCCCAAGGCCTCTCTTACATTTCTGTTGCTTTCCACTTTGAATTTTTATTTTCACAAAAAAATAGAACATTTACTGTTAACCCTTTCAGGGTCCACAGGCCTTCTCAGAGACTTGTTCTCAGGGTCTCCCAAATTTCAAAAAAAAAAAAAAAAAAAAAAAAAAAAAAAAAAAAAAAAAAAAAAAAAAAAAAATCTCATGAAAAGATAGAGAATCTTTTCCCCATCATAATGACACCAAAAGTATGAAATTTGACGGAAAACTTACAGAATTATGCTCGCGAAGTTAGCAGTCTCGATGATGTTTACGCATCAGCGATTTTGCCCACTTTGAGCCCTATTTTCGGCCAATTCCAGTGTACTAGTCGACAAAAATCATGACTATTTCGCTAGAACTCCATTTTTTCTATCGAATGACTACAAGAAATCACCCATTTACCAATTACAACTATCCAATACAGTGGTCAGAATTTAGCAAATTTGCCAATTTCCAAATAGGGTCCAGAATAAACAAGAAAGACATTCCTGGCACTAAAATAACATTTCCTCTGTTCATTAGTCACATTCCCAGGCCCCTCTTACATTCTTTTGCTGTCCACTTTGAATTTTTATTCTCACAAAAAATAGAAGATTTACTGTTATGCAGCCTACTGCACTAGTGAAAGAATATTAGACTCACCAGTTGACGTGTACTGGATGCTTAGCATGATTTGTTTACTTTTGAACTTTGGTAAAAATTGAACATTTCTGCTACTTTGAGCTCAATTTCGAGGTACTTTTCATTGTGAAACCAATCAAAATCATCTCAATTTCTGTAATATGTCATCCATTCTATAAGATGAGACCAGGAAAACTAGAATACAATGATAAATACCATATGAAAATACAGCGCAAAGTCGCTGTTTTAAACCAAAAACGCGGTCTAAGTTTTTTTTCTCATTATGCACTGTGTGCTGCAGGATTTTTTTTATACTGTGCACACTGACCACATAGACCCATTCTTTCATATGTAGGCCTACCAGCTTTCTCTTGCTAGATTTGAAGGTGCTAGAATTTAGGCATACTAGTACGTCACGTCAATAACCCTGGTGCATAAGCCGTACTAGTACGTCGGAAACCCTGACAAGGTTAAACTCCTAAGTCAAGGTACTACTATATATAAAGGAATTATCTTCCTAATAACATTTTTGTTACAAGAATAGTGGTAGATTTTAAAATTCATATTAGATTGCAAAGCAGCAATTAAAACAAAGGAATTATTGACTTACCCTTGGGGTTCGGTTTCTCATGCCACGGGAGTCAAGGAAAGCTGCCAAAATCCCTGGGATATACTGAGGCTCACATGAGAAAAATTTTTCATATCGTGCCACACACTCAAAAAATTGGAGAGAGACAGCTGGGTGGCTATGACCTGATACACCGGAGGTAATAAGCAATCGCATCATTTCCTGCATTGTAGACGTTTTTACCTGTAGTAGTAGGATATAAAATTTCAATAAATTTAAGCTCTAATTGAACACCAGTATATTAGAATTTGCACATTATCTTTACTATTTTGGTGATACTGTATTTCCATAACACTAAATTAAAAATTAAATCAATATTTCAGTAACACTGCAAAAATTTTCCACAGTGAAAGTAGAAATAACTAGAGCTACCAAAAAGCAGAGCCAATTTATAGTATCGCAGTAGAAAATTGTTCAAGAAGTGATTTATAATGACATACCAAATGATTGTACATGTAAGTTTTTAAAATAGTCATAAGTGAGACACACACATTACCTACAATTTTCAGAAATCCTAACACACACTTGAGCAGAGGCTTACCTTTGAATGAGTAGACAGTGAGAATAGCTATCCTTTGGGTCTCATTAGCTATTGAGCATACTATGTGGAAAAATGGGAAGAATGACCTCTCAAAATGGTGAACCACAAGCAGAAAAATCAGAGAATGAAAGTAAGAGCGAGTGATGGTAACTTGCCTGATAATACAAGATGAGGAACAGAGCAGAATGAAACCCTAGCAACATGAAATTACCACAATGGAGAAGTGATTGAAGAAAGTGATATATGAATGAAGCTGTAAAGATACAGTACTAGGGAAAGCCTTGAAAGGATCCAAACAAATATCATCACTCAAAGATATACAATTAAGTAAGGATTCCATAAGTAGAAGTGATACAGAGAAGGAGGAGTATATGGAGAGAAAAAAAGAGGTTCAGAGAGTGATGAAGGATGTAAAAGGAGAGCAAATGAAAGACTAGGCGAGATGTTGTCAACAAATATTGTTCAAAATAAGAAAAAGTTTTCGAGTGAGATTAATAAGTTGAGAAAGCCTAGGAAATGAACGGATTTGACAGTTAAAAATAGGAGAGGAGAGTTATTATACAGAGTTGGAGGTATCAGGAAGACGGAGAGAATATTCTGAGGAACTGTTAAATGTTGAAGAAGATAGAAAAGCTCTGATTTTGTGCACTGGGCAGGGAGGTATAATATCTCGTAGAAGTGAGGAAGAGCTAGTTGTGAGTGTGGGGGAGGGGTGCGAGGCAGTGGGTAGAGCAGTTGGGATTGATGGGATAACGACAGAAACGTTAAAACCAGGAGAGAATATAGTTTTGGAATGGGAAGTGTTTTTATTTAATAATTGCATGGCAGAGTAGGTATGGTACCTAAGGATAGGCAGAGGCCATGCACAGATCCTTTGTATAAAGGCAAATGGGACAAAAGAGAGTAAAAATTATAGGGGAAGAAGCCTATTGAGTATCCCCGGTAAAGTGTATGGTAGAGTTATTGAAAGAATTGAAGAGTAAGACAGAGCAAATAAATAAGGAGGCTTTATAAGGGGAGGTTGTGTGTGTAGACCAAGTGCTAACAGTGAAATGTATAGGTAAACAGTATTTAGATAAGGGTAAGGAGGTTTAAGTTGCATTGATGGATCCTGAAAAGGCATATGATAGGGTGAACGGGGAGCAATATGGCAATGTTGCAAATGTATGGAATAGGAGGGAGGTTACTGAAAGCAGTGAAGAGTTTTCATGAAAACAGTAAGGCTCAGGTTAGAGTCTGTAGGAGAGAGAGGGAGATTATTTTCCAGTATAGAAAGGGCTGTAAGAGAAGCAAATGCTCGGGTGTTGGCAAGAGGCGTGGGATTAAAAGATAAAGAATATAACACAAAGTGGGGTTGTCAGAGATGCTTTTTGCTGATGACACTGTGCTTTTGGGAGATTCTGAAGAGTAGTAGTAGATGTTGGTGGACAAGTTTGGTAGGGTATGTAAAAGAAGGAAATTAAAAGAGAACATAGAAAAGAGTAAGATGAGGATCAACAAAAAAATTTAGGTAATGAAAGATTGAATATCATATTGGAGGGAGGGAGTATGGAGGAAGTGAAGGTATTCAGATATCTGGGAGCTGACTTGGCAGCAGATGGGTCTATGACAGATGAGGTGAATCACTGAACTGATGAGTGGGAAAAAGGTGAGTGATGCATTGAAGGGCCTGTGGAGACAAAGAACGTTACCCATGGAAGCAAAGAGGGGAATATATGAGAGTATAGTTATACCAATGCTCTTATATGGGTGTGAAGCACGGGTGGTGCTGCAACAAGGAGAAAGCTGGAGGCAGTGGAGATGTCATGTCTGAGGAAAATGTGTGAGGTGAATATAATGCAGACAATCCGCAGTTTGGAAATTAGGAGGAGATGCTGGGTTATTGAAAGTATTATTCAGAGGGCCGAGGAAAGGTTTTTGAGGTGGTTCGGACATTTAGAAAGGATGGAACAAAATAGAATGACTTGGAGGGAGGGGGTAAAGAAAGTTTTGTGAGGGAGGGGCTTGGACTTCCAGTAAGTGTGTGTGAGAGTGTCAGATAGGAGCGAGTGGAGACAAATGGTTTTTATGATTTGACATGCTATTGGAGTGTGAGCAAACTAACACTTATGAAGGGATTCAGGGAAACCGGCAAGCCGAAGTTGAGTCCTGGAGGTGGGAGGTACAGTGCCTGTACTCTGAAGGAGGGGTGTTGATATGTTGCAGTTTTTTAGCTATAGTTCAGGCATGCCTCTGGCAAGACAGTGATGGAATGAATGATGAAGAAATGGCTGATTTGTTAATGGAAATAAACAAAAATAATTTTGGTTTAAACTTTCATTTCTCTTTGGGCTACCCTGCATTGGTGTGATACAGCTGGTTTGTTGAAGGAAGAAGAATTTTGGTTCAAGACTGTGGTAGTGATTGGGAATGCACTCCAGTGCATCAAAGAGTACTTAGGGCAAGGAAGAGGTGTCAGAATGGCAGAGTAACAAGTGGGGGTACCACAAAGATCAGTATCAGGACCAGTACTATTTTTGGTGCATGTGAACATATTACTGGATGGGATCTGGTCAGATGTATCTGTCTGCTGATGATATAAAACTAATGAGAATACAAACAGATAAGGATGGGAAAAGGCTGCAAATGTATCTGGACAAACTGCAGAGTTGGTCAGATAAATTGATGCTTGAGTTCAACCCCAGCAAATGGAAGGTTATGAAAACTGGGGAAGAGGGCAAAAGACCTGACATGAATTATAGACTCGGGGGACATAGCTTGCAGATCTTAGTCAACGAAAAGGACCTTGGAGTATACATAGCAGCTAGCACATCACAAGAGGCTCACATCAACTGAATAACCACTGTAGCCAATGCTTGCCTGGCAAATGTGAGAGTGGCTTTCAGGAATCTCAACAGTCATTCCAGGCCCATTATATTACACAAGTCAAGCCAATCTTGAAGTATGCAGCACTAGCATCAAGCCCACACCTGAAGAAGCACGTTAAGAAACTGGAGAAAGTGAAGTATGGTCCAGTGGCTAATGCATCGGTCTGGAGTTTTGTGACACTCTGATTGCAAGTTCTAACCCCACCCGTGGTATGGTTTTATTGCAATTGTGTTATTACGGTTTCATGAGTCAAGAAGACTTGTGCCAGAACTAAGGGTATGAGTTACAAAGAGAAGCTGAAGGAATTGACTCTGATTACCCTGGAGGACAGAAAGACCAGGGAGACATGATAACTTACAAAATACTCAGAGGAATCGACACAGTGGAAAGGGACAAGCTGTTTGAGAGACAGGAACAGTTGGAAGTTACAGACACAGAGGAGTCACATGGATGTCAGGAAGTATTTCTTCATTCTCAGGGCAGTAGGGAAGTGGAATAACCTCAGTAAAGAACTGGTGGAGGCAGATATCATACATAGTTTTAAGAGTAGGTAAAACAGGGGCCATGTGAGTAGGCAAATGCAAAAGTCAGAAGAAGGGCCAGGAGCTAAGACTCTACTCCTACAACCACTTATTGGTGAGTATCTATTGATGAGTACATCTGATTAATTTTAGTTACATCTAATATAAAAGCAACCATTATTCTTATTTTTTTAACACACTGGCTGTCTCCTATCAAGGTGCATAGATACAACAGTCCAGATGTCTCTTTAAACAGCAAATATCTCCATCCCTCCTTTTGAGTGCAGGCACTGTATTTTCCACCTCCAGGACTCAAGGTTGACTAGGCAATTTCCCTGAATCCCTTCCAAAAATATTACCAAAGATGCAAACACCAGAAAGGCTGGTACCCTTGTTCCCATAATAAAAAATATTATTAATAAGCAAATAGTTACTAAGAGATTATATAAATGAAACTGTGATCAATGTATATGTTACGCTGGTTAACTATGAAATAGCTTTCAAATACATACATGGATAGAGAGATGCTGAAAAAGCTGATTATAACATATAATAATACTAAATGCTGTAAAGTTTTTTTATGAGGGTAGTGAGGCTCAGGTTAGGGTGTGTAGGAGAGAGGTAGATTTGTAGCCAGTGAGCCTACATGCCTAATTCCCAGTTTCCACCAGAGGCCAGGCCTCTCGGTGGGCATGCCAGCCTGCCCACCCCTGCATCTGCCTCACTCACTCAGCGGCCTAGACTCAGACAACAGGTCCTACTCCTCTCTCCCTCGTGGGCATGGCCCTCCCGGGCCATGGGCACGTAACACACTGCCTGTGTATCCCAGATACCACAAATAAAGTAAGAAGCCTCCGAAGACGCTCAATGCCTATGACCACAATGTTTAGCACACCCCACATGTTTTTTTCTTCCCTCCCTGTAGGAAGTTTTTTTTCCATGTCCATGTATGTATATATGTATATATATATATATTTTTATTTTCCTAGGTAGTAGGTTGGTAGACAGCAACTGCCCAGGGAGGTACTACCATCCTGCCAAGTGAGTGTACAACGAAAACCTGTAATTGTTTTACATGATGGTAGGATTGCTGGTGTCTTTTGTCTGTCTCATAAACATGCAAGATTTCAGGTATGTCTTGCTACTTCTACTTGCACTTAGGTCACACTACACATACATGTTCAAGCATATATACACACACCCCTCTGGGTTTTCTTCTATTTTCTTTCTAGTTCTTGTTCTTGTTTATTTCCTCTTATCTCCATGGGGAAGTGGAACAGAATTCTTCCTCC